ACGCAGCTGTAGAACAAGAAGTGCAGTGAAAAGACGTCACTTGGAAGGGGAAATTATGTTTTTTTCCAATCTGTGTAGGGTCATTTAGCAACGAATGCTGTAGTGACGTTAAGAAATCACAAGGGCATATTCAACGATCAGCGTAATAGAACAAAAATGCAAAACTGGGAAAGAGTGGTTTATGGGGGTGGAGGGGCAGAGTGGGAACTAAAGAGGGTGAAAGATTGAGAGGATGTCCTGTTTTGGGTCATGTGCTTCAGAGCCTTTTACTGTGGGAAAATGTACGTGTATGTGTGTGTGTGTTTGTGTGGGGTCTGGTTGTGAGAACTGACTTTTGAAGGCCCACAGTTCTTGTAAAGACATGTTTGATAGTCGGCGTGGTGATTTATAGTCGTTAGAGGATGTGCGGCTAGCAATCTAAGGGCCACATCTAGTTAATGTAAGTCAATACAATGTACCTCGCAAATTTAGAGGACCCCATTGTCATGTGTGGACAGTATGTGTGTGTGTGTGTGTGTGTGTGCGTGTGTGTGTGTGTGTGTGTGTGTGTGTGCGTGCGTGTGTGTGTGTGTGTGTGTGTGTGTGTGTGTGTGTGTGTGTGTGTGGTGTGTGTGTGTGTGTGTGTGTGTGGTGTGTGTGTGTGTGTGTGTGTGTGTTTAAAGAGAGTTTCCTTCCCCACTCTGGGGCCTAACACAAACATGCCCAAGACTTAAACCATTAATTATAAAACTACAACATACAACTTCACACTGTGTACATTACATCTAAAATAGAACCATTTAAAAACACGAGCGTGGGTGTGCAGGCTGGGATCCAGACAACAGGAAAAGAAAGGGAAATTTATGTCGGAAGCTGAGAAAACAGTAGCTCCCTTTAAAACATATATATACAGACTCCATATATTAGCCTTCTTTTCACTATCATGTGGTATCATATATGAGCTTTAATCATTGCAACTACATCAGGGTTGAAGATTTCCGTATTTGTCGCTACCTTTAACATATATTATTTATATCTGTCTTGTTTTAAATGTCATCTACCATGTTTTTTTGTGAAGCAGTTTTGAATTAGCTTGCTGTTCCAATGTGCTATATAAATAAACGTGCTTTGCCTTTATCACTACTCTACGCCCTCACTGATAATGTTCAGTTTATCCTCACAGTATATTATATAGCATATCTAGGACATGCATCAGAGTAGATATGCTCAAAACGATTCATGCGCAACCTGAAATGTTGTCATATCTGTGCACTGGTGTGTGTCAGTGTGCAGTCTCGGGTTGGACTGATAATAATAGCTGGTAATTAAAAGATAGAACATGTTTAATTTATTATTGAGTTAACCATTTCTGCCATAAGGAAGGCTCTTCCTTTGTGTGCAGTCCCTTCATTCTTATGCAGTTATATTCAGATTTCATATAGCAGGGACATGTAAGCATGTGGCAGAGGGCAAACAGACTGCAGGGTTTATTTTTCAACTAAAAACACCACCAGCTGATTTCATTCAGCTGGTGGTGATGAGCTCATCAGTGAGATCACCTGCTGAGATGTCCTGATTGGCAAGGGCCAATAATATTCCTGACATTTAAGCATGAGTATATTTGAGAAAATAAGCAGGAATTCACTAGTTTCAATATTATAATGCAAGCAGAAAATAACTTTAATAAAGTGCCGGATACTGACATACACTTTGTAAAGCCACAGTTGAGCCACAGTTCTGCTCTCACACTTCCTTCAGTGCTTTTGGTAAAAACCGCTGGGTCAACCCACTTCCCTGTATTCTTCTGTCAACTCTGGGAAAAGCTTTAATATCCTTCCTGCTTTCAAGATGCTGGCCATGGAGGCGGCCATCCTTGAGGGCAACTGCACCGCAATGTGTCCCCTCACCGTGAACTATTGTCTGCTCTGTTTGTGTCTCTAAACTTTGCTGTTTTGCCTCTCAAAAGAAACAAAAAACCCTTGTCTGGCTTCCTGGACAGTTTCAAATTGAATAAATATTGCCTGATATCTTGCTGTTTGTTTGTTTAGGTGGGGTCTGTAATGATACTGTGATTGTTTTTTTGGTCATTCAGATGGACTTTTCCGGCTTTGTGTCTCCCAGTCGAGACTCGACAGCAATGTCAACATCATTGACCATCAGCCCCTGACAGTGAGGACTGCATTGTTTGACTCAGAGTTTATTTACATGATGCGATGATAACATTTAAGCCTACATTGCTGGGTTTTTCTTTGTATTGTTTCAAGTTTTACACAGACACGTAGCAAATCAGTCATGGTTTAAAATGTTTGGCTCTTTGTATAAGTCGGGATAATACTGTTGTCTTAATAAGAGAATAAAAAAGGCTGAATGCAGTCACACAGAATAAACTCTCCCAGGGCTTTCGTCTCCTCAAATGTTTTGACTGAACAAATTCGATGCATATTCCAACAGCACATATTCTCTGGGGTCGTACATTTGTTTTCCACCTCATTTAAGAAAAGGAGAAATTCATGGGACATCATTTATAAAAAAAGACACAGAGTCAGAAAGAGTATGATACAATTTTAAAGTGATGACAGCAAACATCGTTTCTTTGTGTCCCAAACCTTTTTAGTATCAGTGTTAAATAATGCAAAGGCTGTATTTTTTGGAGTCATACTTGACTTAAACGCTATTTCCAAGATGGAAACTTGCAAATATAATTGTTGGCTTTGTATCAACAAGGCTTTCACAACAGAATGCGGGAAATCCAAATGAATTAATCGTCTTTTTCTACGCCATCATACAGACAATTTAAATGGATTTTTTTGTCTAGCTTCTTTCTATTTTCTATGTACTTTGCTGTTATATCCACATATCTGCTCGGGCTCTACTTAATAATTCATTAACGCGGTTTATCTAACAGGCATATCCAGGGCCGGACTGGGACAATAAGTCAGGCCGGGAATTATACACCCAGCCAGGCCACTACCAGTTTTCTTTTGTGCTATTTTCCTGGATTTGTTTGTCAATATTTACAGCGTTGCTGCCCATAGTGATAGCCCTAAACTTTAAATCTACTACCCCAGAATAAACATATGGACATGGGTTACTATTTAAAAAAAATGTTCAAATCTATTTAGGAACCTATCCATGTGAACATATTTTAAGTGGAGGTGGACCTCAAATCCTCTAGGGCGGTCCGGGGGCATGCCCCAACCCCCCCCCCCCGGTAAGATTTTATTTTTTAAAAGGGGAGATAAAGAGACTACACCCATATGAAACAGAACTGTATACATTTAAATAATTATAAAATCATAAGAACATGGCCATAACCAATAACATACCATATCCAATATGAAAAAACATTGAAACTTCTTTATTTATTTGTTTTTGGTTCATTTATAGTGAGTGTGTCTGGGCTCCTGAACCAGCCTCACTCGTCTCCCCCCTCTCCCCCTGCTCCTCTTTGAGGCAGCAGCTTTTAGCTCTCAACACGTTTTTTATTATTATTCATGCATATTTTACTAATCACTCCCCCTTCAAATGGAAATATGTGTTTACATAAATGGTGACCAAACTGTTTGAGACCCACTGAGATAACTCAGACTAAGTTAACTATCTAAACACTCAGAGAGTCCTTTACCTCACCTGAGCTGTAGTTATCAGTCTCTCAGTCTGACAGGAGAGGACTCTCCTCCACCTTGTTGACAGCTCATTATATCCATTAGCGCCGCTAGCTAGCACCAGATGCTAACAACAACAATACACGTAACCGGTGCGCGCGCTTTCTCTCTCGCTCGCGCCCGCCACACATACACACACCCTCCCGAGCTTGAATGAGAGACCAATCGAGGGCTTTAGTGTATGCTCTGTATGAAAGTGGCCATGTCGGCAGGCCACATCATGTAGACAGCCAGTCACCCTCTGTGAGGCAGAGTCAGACCCACATTTGCGCAGCGTTGCGTTCACAATATATATATAAAAAAATCCTCAGGCCAGCAGGCCACTTAACAGGCCAGGCCATCGGGAAACCTCCCGGTCCTCCCGATGGCCAGTCCGGGCCTGGGCATATCTGTACTATTAACTCCTGTCTCATTGTTTAAAAGCAGTACCCTTTTCGCAGAGCATTGTTTCACGCAGCAGAGGGTTGAAACAAAGAACGTAGGTAAGTAAAACAAATAAATAAAAGTAGCTGAAATGCAGCTAATAAGCTACAAAATCTTTCCCCATTTTGAAATCACTCAGTTTGTAGAAAAGCAAATACTTTGGGAGATTACTAGTACAAGAGCACTAAAGGTTTATTCAACATAAAGTGTCTTCGTTAAAGCAGCGATAACTTCTAATCAGACCGAACAACTGATAACTCCTATCACCAGCAGTGCCTTAACAATCAGTAAATATTAAATGTTATTATCGTTTTGTAAACTTACTGTCATTGTAAATGTGAACACAGAAGTGAATATGCATAGTTTAATAAAGTTGAGACAATTTTAGTTTCACGCTCCTTTGGCACCATGCATATTGGATACATCAGAGATTGGTTCAACAGAGCCAGTGTTACTTTCATATGGACTCCAGATCAAAAAGCAAATTGGGACATCGAGCGTCTGGGTTTAATAATTGCCTTGTATATAATATAAGTTAAATAATTCAGTGAGCAGATCTTCAAAGTGTAATATTTACACGTTGATGAAAGCCAGTTATCTTTTAATCCTACACAGACACTTACTTTTACACGACACAAACTGAAAAAGGATTAGGATATGCAGGTTTGATTCATGAGCAAATTCTAAGCAGTTTTGTGTCATTGGGGAAACACCTACTGGTTTTCAATAGTCGGTTACACAAAAACAATGCTACTTTAAAAACTCCCAAGAGAGTCAAGTCTACAAGGAGTCTTAAAAACTAAAGGAAGGCCGTCTGAATCAAGTATGGGAACTCCACTGGTAACAATGTAAAATTACTCAATGGAGAGGTAACAGATCGTAAAAACATTAAATGGCCACACCAGGGGGAAAAAATGGCGACCACAGACGATCTCAAAGTGGGATTTGATTTTATGAAAAGCATTTTACTTCCTCTACCGGCAAAATCTCAAAATCAGTGCACAGTTTAAATATTTTTTCCATTAAAGTATATATTTATACATCGAAAATGGGTACATTCAATTGTATTGTATCACATCATAACGGAGTGTTTTGTGAAATACAATTAAAGGAGGCCAAAAGATGCAAGTGGCATTGTTTCTTACATAGATTATAGAAATATCTCAAAGTTAATGTCATTGTGATTTAATCTGAACAATTGATGCAAAATAAAGATCTTTTCTGGCAATAAAACATAAATTAACAAAGTTTTTCCATGGTTTACAAATGGTTTACACGCATTGGCAAGGTTGTTGCACTTTTTTAGATGATTGTGAATTACAAAAGAAATGAATGCATTTCATTGTGCAGAAGATACATATACATTGATTCACAAACAAAAGCTGAGAAACATTGCATCACAAAGAAACTTGTAGCAGTACATGTTAACTTGCTTTTTCTACAAAAGGAAGAAGCGCAACCAGTTATTTTAAGACAGCTTTAATCAGTTTCCACAGACAAAGATTGGCAGGTGAGGAGCTGACAAACAGACATTGATGCGTTATGCTTTGGAAGAAAATAAAAAAGCAATGCTTGGTTTAGTTTGCCTCGTGGCTGTTAGGGACTGCAGTTCAAAGAACCAGCGAAGTGGGAACATTAAATGAAGCCTTCCCCTAAAGGAATTCACTTCAAAGCATCAGTGTGTACTTCTCACTAGGGAGGCGATGCAGATACAGTAGACAGCACAGAGAGCAGAACTGTACAGTGTGAGGTCTCAATTGCAGTCCATAGTTCTGTTTCCATTGAGAATCCCTCTTAGTATTTTATTCAACAGTATCTGATAAGTTACACTGTTATAAAGCAGTCCGTGGAGGCTCAGGTAAGTAACACAAGAAATTCCCCAAATATATTAATCATAGTGTTGCTGTGTCTTTGGGTTGCACACCAGTGTATCCTCTTCCAGTAGTGACAATCTATTCAGTAACTCAACAATACGATACAACTTGCGGAATCAATATAAAGTCCAGATTTGGCTGAAAATATCATGTTAAAATATTTAACAAACGGTGTCTTCTGGGAATCTAATTTCCCACCAGTTTAGACTTGCCTCTGACGCTTGGTGGATGCTTTGGCCTTCAGCGACGGTTCAGTGCTCAGACAAGAATCTCCGAGGTCAACGGTCCGGATCCATGAGCTTTGAAGAATACACACAGATTCATTCGATCCCTGCTGGTCAATTTACCCAATAAGTGTTGTCAAACGACCTAACTCCTCTGTGTCCTAAAGGGATAGTTCAACAATCAAGAAAATGGGTTTAAGAATTAAATGAGAAGATTGACACTCCTCTAATTCAAATGTTCTAAGTAAAGAAAGGTACTGTTAGCAGCTGGTTAGCTTAGCTCAAGAATGGAAATAATGGGAAACAGCTAATATGGCTTTATACAAATGTAACAAGATCAACATCTTAAGCTCCCTTATTGATACTTTTCTCATTCGAAACAAAAGCGAAACAGTGTTAATTCACAAGGGGTTGTGTTGCCTCTGTTACCAGTCACAAAATAAATCAAAGTAGTAAAGAATCAACTGTAGAATTGAAATATTTGATAAACATGTTGAGTGACAGTATATCAACGTCAGAACTGTGAAAAAAACCTCAAGAAAACACAACTTTGCAACTGCCTATGTCTGGTTTGCAGAGCCACTTATGGGGTATTTTGACCAACTGAAGCAATCTCCCAAAAACTCTGTGCACTCCTTTGTATATAAATGTTTTAATGGAGTAGGTTGGGACCTTGAATTCTGTCTTTCTTCTCCCTCTACTTCCGTCTTCCTCTTGTCTTAGGCCAGGATATCGCTCCTCTTGCTGCACCAGACCACCAGGGCGATCATGGCCAAAGTGAGGAAAACTGGAACGAGGATGAGGATGGTTAACGTGTCGTCGGGCGGGTCCACCCATACAACGTGCTCCAAGGTGCAGTTGGAGAAAAAGTGCTTGTGTATGTGGATGATGTAGCTCTCTACCAGCGGGTTGGGCCAGTAGCAGCTGACGATGTTGGACTTTATCTCCGTGCAGAAGGTGAAGCGGTGGTACTCACTGGGGAGAAACACGGGAGGAAGAGAGAGGGGAAAAGATTAAAATCACACTTCTATTTTAGGTATCCCTGGAGTGTCAGACTTTTAATCTTAATACTTTTAGGGTACTTAAATGGACACAGTTCAAGGGATGAAACTACTGATTTGCATATAATGGTAGAGGTGGACAGTTTATTAAATGAATCACACCACGTCACACAACCCTTTAAACCCCTACTATGGTTGGGCTTGAATTAATCAAAGATATGATGGTTTGGTAAGTAATCCATCATTGTGCCTGGCATTATTCTGCCTTTTACTTCGATTAGGCCCAGGCCCACTACTCTTCTCCATTTCAACAGGCGATCAGTGCCTTCATGGAGATTCAAGGCTTAGAGCTCTGCTTTGATGAATCCATTCAGCCAGCCGAAATCCCTCTTTCCTGAATCCTCAGTCCTCTAGATCCAGATTTGTTTCTCATTACATTCAGTGCATTCTCACCAGCAGAACAGTAACAATAGTTATATTGTCTATAAACCCCTAAAATGGGTCTAAATCCTATGGATAAAATGCCTTGTTTACATCATTTGGATGTAAAGCTGTAGAATTTATGAGAAATAAAAACTAAAACGAAGGCACAGCCGGTAAAACCCATGTTATCATTGTTCAGCTTTACAATGCCTAAAAAGGCAGTTACTTGTTAGAAATTGGATTCAGACCAGAATTTGACCTTTTTGACATATGTCAAATATATTCTACAATAAATGTGTTGATTAGGAGAAAAATTCCAGGAGCTATAAACAAAAACAAACAAGCTGCATTAATCAGACGCCTGTACGTAGCCGGAGAGACAAACAAAGGGCATCAAGTACTGCCTGTTGTTATAACTGAAGAAAATACACACATATAAACGTTAGTGTTGACAATCAATCTCTGACTCTGATAACTTAACATAATGTAAAATGCTATATGTATTCACCACTCCTCTAATGACATAATATATGGAAATGTTTATGCTGCCGCCCTCTGTACTGGACATATATAAGGCTCTGACGTCAAGCTGTAACCATTGATTTGAAAGACATTTACTTAAGTGCTGCAAATCAAATAAACCCTGCTGCCTGGGGACATATGTATAGTGCATTGCGGGCAAGGAGGCACAACAGGCCGGTGATAACAACAGTGTTTGCTGAGAAAGGCTTCCTGTGAAATCTGAACTCAACAAAAGTATATTAATAAACCAGCGTGAAAGCTCAAATGTTCACGTGGAAACTGCAATACAAAGTGTTGCACTATTTGGATTGAGGCCCAAATTGCAGATTTTAGATCCCCTATGCATAATCATATCAAATATTTTCTAAAAATGTGATTTACGTCACTGCCAAGAACTTCAGACAAATACAGCAAGGGACTGTTTGGGGACTAAAGAAAATAACAGGATGGAAAGAAATACATTAAAAAACGATCAAAATGCAGCACGGAGGACTGTAGGGATTAACAGACTTTTGAAGTTATTTCCCAGATGTAATACATAGCAGCTAACAGGTTTTCAACTGCATTATATAAAATGCATTGCATAACTTTGAAAATAACCACAAACACAGAACAGGCTCATTCTTTGACTGATATATTTGTGCATGCATTCACAGACATGCCATTTTTGGCTACTTAATGAAAATAAGCCTATATTTTGTATAATAGTGTCTAATATGGAGTTTTCCTCAGATTGTCATTCCATAACTCCTCATGGAAACCCATAGTGAATCCTACACAAATAAAACTGCCTGGGGGGTTTGTAGCTCTGGAAGGCAAGATAAGATAATGTTCAACGGCTGATAAACTGAATGGAAATATAAATGGTGCACCTCCAAATATGCATTATGACTGGCTGCCATTTGAATACTTTGACTTTGTATATCCGCATCCATTTCACCCAGTTTTACCCTCTAAAACTGATAGCTGTGCTCACTGGTTAATCAGATTAATGTTATTACAAACTGTCCTGTAATGAAATTCAAAAGAATGAGGCAAGAATTGGTTGGGACTTACCCTACTATAACACCATGTGAAAAACAGTGCATCATTCTATCATTTCAATCATGAAATGTTCTCTCCCTCCATGGCAGGCCGCTTACAGTTGATAGTAACAGTCTCCTGCCAGTAGTGCGATCCACATAACCCACTTAAAATTAGGCTTACTCATCCAAATGGTCAATTAGTTGTCATGAGTTGCAGCAGGAAAAAGCTCTGATGACTTTAGAGCAGCATCTGGTCGGCACAGGGGCAGAAGATAACTCCTGATAGTAAACATATGTAATATAAAAGGGTCCAAATAGACCAACACTGCTGTTCCTCAACATAAGGCTGCCTGCTCCTGAAGCTGTAAACCACACAGGGCAGAAAATCAATATGTTATTAGACGTAAATGATTGAAGTGCGTTGAATGTACCCACTGTGGTCTGTTTACACTGTTTGTTTGGCTGTACCAGCTCAGTTGGAACCAAAACAGTCATGTTGGCCGGGTGTTTGTCCTATCACTGCAGGGAGGCCCGGCTCATTTGTCAATGAGAGGAGGCCTTGCAGGGGTCGATGCTTGTTCAAACACGAGGCCCCTCGCTCCAGCCTTCTCAACACTCCCTACATCGCTCTCACTCTTTCTCTCATGCCTTCTTATCATTTTTTCAAGGCTCTAAAGTAGGTTGCTTCCAAGAAACTCAACGTATCCTCCGGTCATGTAAATGAAGTATCATACACAAATTCACCCAAATGAATCATTCCTGTCATAAAAATGTGGACGTATGTAGGCAGAGTTCCTGGAAAGTCATGCAGCGTTTCCCACTCGATTATGGCTATGAAACAATCTTTGTTTTTATAGTTAGTGCCCTGAGGTGGTTCCTGGATGTTCCCAGAGCTAGACATGAAAACACTGGTGTCTTTGGTTCATGTTTGGCTGACATACTCTTCATGTGGTTGATCTTATCTTAAGGTTGCTGTTTCTTTATCCCACATTTCAAATTGCCTTTCATTCATAATCACTGAAATAGATCGATGTGTGAAAGTGTCATAAATAAACAATGTTTCTGGAAATCAGCATGTAGGTCTGACATTCCCTCGAGAGAAATATTGGCTTAAAAAGAAGAACAGAAGAAGCGTGACGGATGGGGAAAGCAGGTGGCTGTTCTTCCCAGAAATCTTCAAATTTTGCTCACAAATCTGTGACTCAGATGACTTTGATGTTGATTTTAAGCTCCCATGTACACAAGAAACTTCTCCCTCCCCTTCTGGCTCTTCAGTTCAAGGAAAGAGGTCAGAGGTGAGTGGAAGGAATGAGTTGAGAGCTGGATAAAGATAGATGCAGATGGGTGGTCAAGGCTAATGGGTCAATGGGTCAAAGGTCAGATGCTTCGTAGAAAAACAGAACTGGTTTTGGGAATCAAATCTCCAGCTGTTCTCCCACCCACAGACTACCAGCCAGCTGCATGAGGTCGAAATGGATAACAGTTTTCTTTCAAACGTGTGTTTATTGTTTTTTTAAAGTCCACCTGTATGACAACCCCTTAGCTTATACTTCAAAAATAGAGCACTCAGACATGAAGGCAAAAGTATTTGAGAAAAGAAGAGGGATAAAGATAAGAGCTTGAAAATACGGGGGGCTTTTTAGTGCCCAGATGTCACATTTATTTCATGGCTTTCTACTGGTTGACAGGTTTGCTCTGCAGTCACTCGTAATAAGCTGTACTGGTCGATTAATGTAAGGAGACAGTTTAATTTGACTCCTGTGTGTAGAGCAGATAACTGTCTACTAATCTTACTGGCAGCAGCTCATTTTAGGGCACATCTTTGGGCTCTCTATAACAGGAAATGAGCTTTTTCCGTGTTGCAGGCCAATTTTGGTGTCTCAATAATTAGGCCACCATGTCATGGCAAGCACACCGTAACCTATTTTAAGAATGAATTAAACAGGTGCAGTTATTTCCACGCTGTAGGGCCGAAATCTCCATAAGAAGATGAAGTAGGAGTAGCATTGCATGTTGCCGTTCATAATCCATTTTGGGAATATAATAAAATCAGGTTACTGGCCGTGAGAAATGCCTCAAAATACAATTAGCATTGAGCTGATTCTGTGAGTGTGGGTGTTTGTCTAAATGAATTGCGCTGCTACATGTGATGCGACAAATACATATATGCAAAGGGAAGCAAATATACAGTATATGAAGGTATTATTCGGATACACCGATTCGTCATCAATTGACATAATTTGCCACACGTGTTGCCACCCCCTTTAGCTCAGTCTTTACAGTAGGCAGAAACAATGAGGATAATCAGAAAAAGTCAATATTCTGAGGATTATTTTTTATATGTAATCATGAGATATTCAGACTTTCAATACCAACAGTAACCATTAAATGCTAACAGCCAAAGCAGAAAAAGGAAAAATATCTTAATGCAATATGGCCCAATGCAATTCTGAATGAAATGTTCTCACTGTTGAAACGTCCTGTATATTTCCACTGGGCCTATTCATTTATAGGATCATGATCATTTACACAGCTCCATTATTTGATTTCATTTGCAGCTAACAAACACAGTATATACATATATATAAAATATGTTTGTACCTGATGAAGTGTGTGAGGTTACACCAGTAATGTGGCTCTATGTGACCCATCTCCCGCTTGAAGTCCTCTCCACAGACCTCCACCTCCCACTGCAGACGGGACTCATTGCAGGGTTTCCTCGGCCGGGGGGGAGTGGGCTCTATGTTGATACTGTCAGTGGCTGCTGAGGAGGAGGAGAAGGAGAAGGAGAAGGAGAAGAAGAAGAAGAAGAAGAAGAAGAAGAAGAAGAAGAAGAAGAAGAAGAAGAAGAAGAAGAAGAAGAAGAAGAAGAAGAAGAAGAAGAAGAAGAAGAAGAAGAAGAAGAAGAAGAAGAAGAAGAGAAGAAGAAGAAGAGAAGAAGAAGGAAGCAAGGAAGAAGAAGAGAAGGAAGAAGAAGAACGAAGAAGAAGAAGAAGAAGACAGAAGGAATGAAAGAGAAGAAGAAGTAAGAAGAAGAAGGAAGAAGAAGAAGAAGAAGAAGAAGAAGAAAGAAGAAGAAGAAGAAGAAGAAGAAGAAGAAGAAGAAGAAGAAGAAGAAGAAGAAGAAGAAGAAGAAGAAGAAGAAGAAGAACATTTATAGGTCACATATCCCCATTTGTGTGGGATAACTCTGATAAATAGTGATGACAGAAAAGTAACTGAAATGAGACATGACAAAGATGGATGGATGGATGGATGTATTCCTTACCTGACAACCCTCTTATCATCCAGGCATTGACTGTGAAAAAAAAGAAAATATTATGAATTTAGAGTGATTAGAAACAGCTAGGTTCCCACGTGTTAATTAACAAGTAAATAAGACCATCATCTGATAGAAACTAACTTATTGGGTTAAAAATGTATTACAAAACAAAATCCTTTTCTTGCATCTGAACTCAATCTGTTGCATTAAGTTACTGCTAATTCAAACCTCACATTACTCTTGTTTCACATTTAAAGCTTTGCTTAAGTGCACTACATGAAAGCTTTTATTGTAAAGCAACTATATAGAGTTCGCTATAATTTCATAACATCAACATGCGCACTTTGTGACGACCTACTTCCAGGTGGATTAGCTGATCACATTTCATGCAGTAATTCCAGAAGAGATAACAGCCAAGGTGAGCCGTCAGATAAGCAGTTCCAGACAACAGGTTTTTTTACTAAAGGGAACCAGCACTTTAAGATCAATATCAAGGTAAACAACAGCTTTTACCACGCAATTCTGTTAGATGGAAGACTACATGCACATGGCTTAGCAAGGTGTGCAATTTTCCTAACCCTATTATTGCCTGAGATCCAATGCACTTTCAACTAGCGGCAAAACGATTCCCATCAGCCTCTCGACAGGCATAACAGACCATATAGCTTGTACTTTCATGTGAAAAGTGATGGTGCTTTTGGACTACAGATAGCCAACAGCCAAGAAGAGCAGGATTCATACACAACTGTCTTTTGTTTCAATTAGTTAGAGGAGAATCCAATTGACAAATAAGAACGAAGACCATCTGAACTTTGTGTTTATAATCCATTTAAGTGAACATTTTCATGAATAACTGAAAGAAAACATCATTATGTTCAGTCTTTCGGTGAACACCCAGCAGAGATAAAGAAGGAAAGAGAAAAACAGAGATTGATCGTGATAAAAAAATTGATATCCCAATGATACTCCTCCACACAAAAGGGCATCCATCACACAAATTCCCTTTTTCCCCACCTAGCTTTTTTCCCAAGCTCTTGCACACAGCAGCTCCTTTTTTACCGCAACAGAGTGTTATAGATGACGGAAGCTAAACATGCTGCTGCACAGGAAGGTGTATCTGCCTTTGAAGTGTAACACTTACAAAGTGGAGAATCTGTCTGAGAGACGCCCCGTGGGACAAACACTGCTACTAAATTAGCATGCTAAATATAGAGACCTCCCTGTTTGAGCATGTGAGGATGTTTCAACGTGGAGTGTTTGTGGAGGATCATATTATTGTACCTTACAGTATCAGCGGTTCCCGACCTTTTTCAACTCGGGGCCCACTTAGGAATTTAAAAAAAATGTGCGGCCCACATTCAACCATAAACCATACGGAGGCTAAATAAAGTTCTGAGAACATGTGACACGTTGTTAATCCAGAACAGACAAGGACTGTAATGACCGTTGCTAAGGAGGATCAAGAAAGAGAAAGGAAAAGAGGTTAAAATTTAAAAAAATCTTAATATCATACTACTTCCCTGATGGCTCCCACAGGATTGTTGACATCCTTGTGGATTCATCTTCTGATTATAGACACATGCATTTCCAAACATTTGGTCTACCTACGCTGTAAAATGTATTATCTCTTCGATTTACACACGGTATCTATTGCACGTCTGTCCGTGCTGGGAGAGGGATCCCTCCTCTGTTGCTCTCCCTGAGGTTTCTCCCATGTTCCCCTTTAAACTGTGGGTTTTCTCTGGAAGTTTTTCCTTGTACGATGTGAGGGTATAAGGACAGAGGGTGTCGTATTGTCATGTCTGATATTCTGAAATGTAACATTTGTGATATTGGGCTATATAAATAAACATTGATTGATTGATTGATAATAATGAAAAAATGTCCACACAAATCATAATGTTTTGCAAATTATTTGGCAGCAAATATTGAATTTACATTTACACCCTTTAATATGTTATTTGGGCTTTTAGATGAAGACCACACACAGTTAATAAATACAACGATTCCTCTGGCGAAGTCAATCAAGGAGTAATCTTAATTCAAAGTGTTTGAAGAGTAGATTAAAAACACAATTTATTTTGGAAAAAATTATTGCCACAAAAAATCAAACACTCAACACGCCATGAAATGGGAAATAATTAGCTCTAACGAAGAGTGGGATTAAAAGAACAATAAATATGTTTGCCATGTTTTTTTTTGGTGGTATTTGGTTGTCAACCTATTTTTGTTTGTGAAATGTTGAAGTGATGCTACTGGCTGTATCTTTATTTCTTCTGTTTTTGTTTTGTTGTTGTCTGAGATGGGAATGTCATGTTAAAACTAATTAAAATTAAAAATGTTTTAATTATTTGACGGCCCACTTGCAATGCCTTGCCAGGCCCACAGGTTGGGAACCGCTGCCTTAGGTGATCGTCTACGTAATATACACAGAACAATATTTGAGTAGATTTTGACCTGGTTTCAATGTATCTGTACTGTTGATTTGGTTTTGTATTGTTTCACCTGGTTTAACAGATGATTCGGAAGAATAGGCTGATATTTTGTTATTTTTCTTTCTTGTTAAGAGTTAAATTATTGGATTGATAGACACTTCTGTGTGCTAAATATAAAGCTACAGCTAGCTTAGCATGAAGACTGGAAACAAGGGGAACAGTTAGACTTGTTAGATCTCTAAATCTCACTATTTAATACTTTATATCTTGTTTATCAGTAAAAGAATGTAAGTGTAAAAGGGTGGTGTTTTAGTGAGTGGTTGACATTTTTTAAAAGCCTTGGGGAAACCTTAGGGAATTGTGCTACATTTGAAGATTGAGAAAGTAAGTTAAAATCACAGAATCCATTGTTGAATTTCAACAAAGGAGGACAAGGCTAGTAAAAGCTTTTCTATAAGAGACTGTCAAAGATGACATTGACTTCTCAGGCAAGCTGTTTCAGAAGGGGATCTGAGTTGGGAGTCACGACAAGTCATCGTCGTTCTTTTGACGGTATAAGGAGACAGATAAGGGTGCTGTCTAAGAATCCCCAGTAAGACGTCAATCAAAACTCATCTATTTCTGTATTGTTATCGAGAAGCTAGGCATTAAATACAATTCTTGTCTTCCCTTCAGACACAAAGAGACAGAAAGTCATTTCTCAAGAGTAGCCTACCACAAAATATGTAATTCTTGTCTGCTAATCAATTGATCAAATCCAATGTCATGGAAGATTACAGAGCACTCAAAGTTGAACGTTTCCCAACTTCATAGCCTGTCTTTCAGCTGTTTGGTTCGCACAGGACTACTTTTGCATTTAATTTCTCTTGATAATAAGCCTTGTGCAAGCTGGTCCAAAAATAACATCTCATATATAACAGCCAACATAAATACATCTTTACTACATCATCTCCTGTGAGGCAACAATCAGCAAAACCAAATATCCCACATGTACTCTTTCGACAAGCACTTAGGGAAGCACAAGCTCTGCAGCAACATTATAAAAAAAGGTTATGCCTAGACGAGATGATGTTACTCTGATCACATTTCGCTTAACATCAGTTGGAAAATGCAGTCCTAATTCTGAAACTATAAAGTGGCTTTTATCCTTAAACACAAATGGTGAATGCTTTTGTTCTTGTTTGTATACAATAATCATATGCTGTTGACAAAAAGACCAGCCTAGGAAGCTTGTCTTCTAAGTTATTAATAGTCATAATTAATCACAAGCAGGATGGAGCCACTGATGAAAATAAACTAACAGCAGGATTCCCTTCAGCATGATCTCTGCACAACTGCGGGGGAAGTTTTGAAACAACATCTTATCTTTCCGCTCTGTGAACTGAGGGAACACAAACATATTTGGCATCAGCTTGAGTCTGTGTGTATGTGAGAGATTTGGTTTTAAAGTTGGACAGTGATTCTTGCCAGAGTACGAATTATAACAGCTTGGTGGATCTCTCATCTTGTGACAGTTTGTCAAATGAATAGCAGTCTTGATTAAGATAACAGATTTCTGAGTTGTGACTACAGCAATATTTCCTGCTTGTAAAGTAGCTCCAGCTAATGTGTGAGCAATCAAATGTCCATTTACACAAGAAACAGACACGGATGAATAATTAGAAATGTAAGGAAAATAAGATAATACGCTAATATCGTGAGTTAGACAAGAACATTGATTCTTCAGTGAAATATAAAGCTATGAGAGTATTTTACCTCAGTCCGATAGAGATAGCTAAACAGCTGTTGGCTATAGCTTCATAAGAACAGCATTAGCCTACCTGTTTAGCTCTCTACAATAAAGCAACGTTTGCTTCCCACATTATCAATATATCGTTGTTGTTTTTTTGTATCATTTCAGCTTAATTTTGGTCTTTGTTACAAGACAAAATAGACATAATGCTTATGGAAACAACACTGATAGGAGCAGCAGTGTGAGAAACCAAACTATAAAGTCTGATGGCCTTAAAAACCAAACCAATAAAGTAGTTCAGCTTTAAGAAAATGTGCATAGAACATATGTATATTGTCTGTTTATATGGTCTTATAGCACAGAGCTCACCAGTAGGGATTTTCAAGACAAATTGCCAGTATCAGCCTTCCTCAGTAGCCTATCTCTTATCCTCTGCAGAGGGGATACAAAGCTCCAAAGCAATTTATCTGTAGCTGCCTCTACTACCATGAACACTTATATGCTGTGAGTTGTAGATTGTAGCAATGTCTTCACAATTTACAAAACCACAAGTGTCCATTTGCAGTAACTTTATGTGAAAGCCATTTTCTAATGGCATGAGCTGAGATCTGAGAAACAGATTATTGATGTCTGTGTTCCTCATATAGGCCTTTTACTACTTAGAAAATGAAACACTTAAAAAGTAATCAATTTGACATTAATGAATACATACTGACAGCCTCTCATTGAAACTGCAATTTCATCTTATACAATCATTACATCTCTCATTAGCCACATGTGGATTGATAGTTTTACCCTTTCACTTATTTTTCATCAGTTTCCTCTTCATTGTGTCACGGTCCAAACTGTGTCCCTGTTTGTTCCGCTGT